CTACTTATGCAAAAGATAATAAATATTTGAAACGTCTTATAGGATACCAAATATATTCCTTAAACCGATCCTGATGGAATAAATTGGTCATCTTTTCCAAATAAAGTACTTGAAGGGCCGTTGAAATGTAATTTTGTGAAATATTTTTTGCTTAGCAGCAAAATAATTATATAGTTGAGGCATGTTCATCCTATTTTGTCTAGGATGATAAAGAAACTTGTAGTTAATCACCCTAAACGAGATATGTTGAATACACCTCATATATTTGATCTAATGGTAGTCTCGAAGGCCTACGCATAAACGAACAATAACTATGTCCTATCTCTCGCTGGCGAGGAAATTAAACGCGTATTTAACATTTTTTATGGTTCAAGAAGCCCTAAATAAGTCTTTATGGATCTGGTACATTAACTTCTTCTCCTGGCTATAATGATCAGTGAAAATGATACCATGTATGTATGCTAACACCAAGAATTGATTGGTATTAGCCCGACCTTATGGGATTTTCTTAAGTAAACTTATTGGATGCTTGGTGTGGACCAAACGTTCGTGCTAGGTACAAGCGATATGAGAGACTTTCGTGAAGATTTGACGAGTAGCATGAGAGAGAAGTCCTACTGTTGTGGCGTTGATTGAAGCTTCTTCATTCCAGTTGAGATCTTTGCCTATAGTGATTCGCGTTCGATTTCTGCTCAGAGAGAAGGAGAGTGAGAGCGAGCGTAAGGATAACTGGCCACTGTTAAATAAAGCCAACATTTACAGTTGAAGAAAGAGAGGTAGCCAGACGAAAGCATTGAAATAGGGCTAGCCAACACATGTGAATAGGGGGCATTTCATTGGGCTGCTCAAGTAAAACAAAATATTCAGAGAAGTTACAGAGTAAGAGGAAAAGAAATAGAAATAGGCTCGACATCACTTAACGGGACTAAACAAATCTGGCGAGTACGAGTTTTAAACTAAGTGAGTACAAGCGATTTTTGTATGAATTTATCTAAGATCAAGGGATAGTCATTAGAATAACCTTATAAAAATCACTAAATATTCCATTTTTGTTGGAATCTCATCGTCTAAAAGTTTGTGAATTTCTCACTGATGATGTGAGAAAATATCTTTTTAAATCAATGATAAACGACTGGTAATGCTGTTAGAAATACATCGAAGAACAATAAATATTTCTGGGATGCTTCATTTTTCACTTATTTCCGAAAAATTATCCAAATTGAACTTCAGCTGAACAATCTCTATGAAAAGAACAGGCTTTTTTTTCCCATTAGCAGAAAGCATTCTGAACCGAGCTGTTCGTGAGTTTGTTATAATCTGCATAGTTGCAATAATCTGACGTGTGTTCAGATGAAACGATATACTAACATCCCAGTTCATAAAGCTATTGAAGCACTCACACTCAGCTTAGATGAGCACCCAAGAATGATTGGGGAGGCAAATCTGAGCAAAAACTCAATCTTAAGGCTTCTTAATATATCCATGAGCAACGCATTCTTTACCTTTAATGATAAAGTTTATGAACAGGTGCAAGGCC